ATAAACTAAACTTGATGGGTTTAAAAAGAAAAATGAGGTCACAAAATTGGGTGGGTAGAGAAGTGAAGGTAGGTCTGTCAAGATTTGGGGAGGGAGGTGACTATGATCACAATACAATATATGTATGAAATCCTCAAAGTTTAATGAAAAAATGTTTAGAATGACTTAGCGCCTTAAGAAAGCAATTTTCTGGGGCTCCTGGAGAGATGGCTCAGCAGTTAAGAACACTGACTATTCCCGCAGAAGACCTGGGTTCGAATTCCAGCACCTACGTGGCAGCTAATAACTGTCCTAACTCCAGTCCCAGGGGATCCGACAGCCTCTTCTGACCTCTGTGGGCATTGCTCGACACGGGTGCACTTACCTACATGCAGGCAATGCACGCATACACATAAAATAAAAAAATTTTTTTTAAAGAAAAATGAGGTCACAAAATTGGGTGGGTAGAGAAGTGAAGGTAGGTCTGTCAAGATTTGGGGAGGGAGGTGACTATGATCACAATACAATATATGTATGAAATCCTCAAAGTTTAATGAAAAAATGTTTAGAATGACTTAGCGCCTTAAGAAAGCAATTTTCTGGGGCTCCTGGAGAGATGGCTCAGCAGTTAAGAACACTGACTATTCCCGCAGAAGACCTGGGTTCGAATTCCAGCACCTACGTGGCAGCTAATAACTGTCCTAACTCCAGTCCCAGGGGATCCGACAGCCTCTTCTGACCTCTGTGGGCATTGCTCGACACGGGTGCACTTACCTACATGCAGGCAATGCACGCATACACATAAAATAAAAAAAATTTTTTTTAAAGCTAGAAAAAAAGAATCACCGTGATAGCATTAGATTAGGGTTAGTTAGTTACTCGTTAAGCACATGTAAGTTTGCTGCTGGTGTCACTTTAATGACCTTGGTCATCCTCAGCCCCAGTCCTTCATACCCACACAGATGCAACCCAGAACCAAAGGACTGATGGCAGCTCTGGGTTTTTTAGGAAATATGTACAGGTGGTCTGGGTACCAGGGTGTCACTCAGCATTGGAAAACTCACCTGATTGTCAGCCTTATGCTTCTGTCTGGTGGGCTCTATGGCCTGGACACCCACTTGTGGTCATATGCTATGCTACTCGGTCCACTTTGTGATGGGTTTGGTTTCTGCTTCTACAATCAAAGAACTCTGATGTGACATACCACAGCACCCTTGTGAGGTCACCAAACGCAGTTTCCAGCCATTTTATGTTTTTAGGTACAAATGGACTGTCTTTATTGGTTTACATTTATTTGTGTGTGTGTGTGTGTGTGTGTGTGCATGTGCGCACACACGCACATGTGCCACAGGACATATGTGAAGGACAGAGGATAATTTGCTGGAATCAGTTCTCTCCTTCTACCACATGGATTCTGGGGATCAAACTCAGGTCTTCAGGTGTGGCAGCAAATGCCTTTACCCACCGAGCCATCTTGCCAGCTCCAAAGTGAGTTTCCCTGCATTATCATGTTTGTGCATCACTACAGTATACTCCTTGGTTGTTATTCTTCCTCTGAACAGTTGCTCATTGTTCAAATTGTTCTGTTTTTCTGGCCTTCTCTGTGGGGATGCGTCCTCTGATTTGATTCAAGAATATTCTCCCTCATCTTGCCTCATCAAGAAGGGTACATCCTGTCCTCTCTAAGTTGCAATCTTATGAGATTGCTTGACATTCTTGCAACATGATATTCTTTATAACAAGTTAAAGCATCAGGAGAGCACCAGAGGCTCTCAGTGTTATACACGAAGCTGGCAGGTTTAGGCATAAATAGGTTGCTATTGAACATTTTTGTATCCTCTCATCTCTGAAGAGTGTGTGAAAGCTTGGCAAGATCCCCATACGTCAAAGCCGTCTACATTCATCACGCATATAGTCCAGAATGGGGGTGGAAAGGAAAAGGGAAACAAGAAAGCTGGGACTTGTTTCCATATTTCTCTTTACCGCCCTTCTGGGCTCACAGACAAGCTAAGACAATACTAAGAGCCATCCAGCTCAAGATAGGATCAGATAAGGGGATGTATGTCTCTGACAATGACTGTTTGTCCCCAGCTGCAGAGAAAGAAGAAATGCAAACATGGAGAATACATCGAATATTCCTGAAATATTCACTTTGCTGTGCCTTGTTCCATGTCCTGACAATGCCACTGCTCTATGTCAAACTTTGACGGGGTGCACAAAGTCCGATATTTCATTTTTTCCATCATATGAGCTAAGAATAAAATCTCAGTGCTGGAATTGAATGTTATATTCTCCAGGCAGAGGAAATGGACATTTATTGGATGTTATTGCTGCTTTCTTCATGCTAACGACATTACAAAAGCTCTTTGGGTAATATAATTTGAAAATATTGTTTCTGTCTTTCAGGTCATGCAAGACAAGATCATCTGCCTTCCAAAAAGAGTGCAGCCTGCTCAGAATCACTCTTCCGTTTCGAATGTCTCTCAGGCCGTTGTCAGTACCACCCCACTGCCTCCCCCTAAGCCTTCTCCCACCAACCCCACCACAGTGGAAATGAAAGGACTGAAGACAGACCTGGACCTGCAGCAGTACAGCTTCATCAACCAGATGTGCTATGAGCGAGCCCTCCACTGGTACGCCAAGTACTTCCCTTACCTGGTACTCATCCACACCCTGGTCTTCATGCTCTGCAGCAACTTCTGGTTCAAATTTCCTGGCTCCAGTTCCAAAATAGAACATTTCATCTCCATCCTGGGGAAGTGCTTTGACTCTCCCTGGACCACACGGGCTTTATCTGAAGTGTCTGGGGAAGACTCAGAAGAGAAGGACAACCGGAAGAACAGCATGAACAGGTCAAACACTGTCCAATCTGGACCCGAAGGTAGCCTGGTCAACTCCCAGTCTCTCAAGTCAATTCCTGAGAAGTTTGTGGTTGACAAATCCACTGCTGGGGCTCTGGATAAAAAGGAAGGTGAGCAGGCAAAGGCCTTGTTTGAGAAGGTAAAGAAGTTCAGGCTGCATGTGGAAGAAGGTGACATACTGTACGCTATGTATGTTCGCCAGACCGTGCTGAAGGTCATCAAATTTCTAATCATCATTGCATATAACAGTGCTCTGGTTTCCAAAGTCCAGTTTACAGTGGACTGTAATGTTGACATTCAGGACATGACCGGATATAAAAACTTTTCTTGCAATCACACCATGGCACACTTGTTCTCCAAACTGTCCTTTTGCTACCTGTGCTTTGTGAGCATCTACGGGCTGACGTGCCTATATACCTTGTACTGGCTGTTTTACCGTTCTCTAAGGGAATATTCCTTTGAGTATGTCCGGCAGGAGACTGGAATTGATGATATTCCAGATGTGAAAAATGACTTTGCTTTTATGCTTCATATGATAGACCAGTATGACCCTCTGTATTCCAAGAGGTTCGCAGTGTTCCTGTCTGAAGTCAGCGAGAATAAATTAAAGCAACTCAACTTAAATAATGAGTGGACCCCAGACAAACTGAGGCAGAAGCTACAGACCAATGCTCATAACCGACTGGAGCTGCCTCTGATCATGCTTTCTGGCCTTCCAGACACTGTGTTTGAAATCACAGAGTTGCAGTCTCTGAAGCTGGAAATCATTAAGAACGTCATGATACCCGCCACCATTGCCCAGCTTGACAATCTCCAGGAGCTCTCTCTCCACCAATGCTCCGTCAAAATCCACAGTGCAGCGCTCTCTTTCCTGAAGGAAAACCTCAAGGTCTTGAGTGTCAAGTTTGATGACATGAGGGAGCTGCCCCCCTGGATGTACGGCCTCCGGAATCTGGAAGAACTCTACTTGGTTGGCTCTCTGAGTCACGACATCTCCAAAAACATCACCCTCGAGTCTCTGAGGGATCTCAAAAGCCTTAAAATCCTCTCTATCAAAAGCAACGTCTCCAAAATCCCTCAGGCCGTGGTGGACGTGTCCAGCCACCTCCAGAAGATGTGCATCCACAATGACGGCACCAAGCTGGTGATGCTCAATAACCTGAAGAAGATGACCAACCTGACAGAGCTGGAACTGGTCCACTGCGACCTGGAGCGCATTCCTCATGCTGTCTTCAGCCTGCTCAGCCTCCAGGAACTAGACCTGAAGGAAAACAACCTGAAATCAATAGAAGAAATTGTGAGCTTCCAGCACTTGAGGAAACTAACCGTGCTGAAACTGTGGTATAACAGCATCACCTATATCCCAGAGCATATAAAGAAACTAACCAGCCTGGAACGACTCTTCTTCAGTCACAATAAGATAGAGGTGCTGCCTTCCCACCTCTTCCTATGCAACAAAATCCGATACCTGGATTTGTCCTACAATGACATTCGCTTCATCCCACCCGAAATCGGAGTTCTACAAAGTTTACAGTATTTTTCCATCACTTGTAACAAAGTGGAAAGTCTTCCCGATGAGCTGTATTTCTGCAAGAAACTTAAAACTCTGAAGATTGGGAAAAACAGCTTATCCGTACTCTCACCAAAAATTGGAAATTTACTGTTTCTTTCCTACTTAGATGTCAAAGGCAATCACTTTGAGATCCTCCCTCCCGAACTGGGAGACTGCCGGGCTCTGAAGCGAGCTGGCCTAGTTGTGGAAGACGCTCTGTTTGAAACTCTGCCCTCGGATGTCCGGGAGCAAATGAAAGCAGAATAACTTATTTTTCATCAAAATAGGACTGAAACACGCTTCTACCAAATACAGTATAAATAACTAGGTAGTCTGAATGCCTTTCCTATTTTATTTTTATTTTAGCCTTTTCTTTTTCACACAAAACAAATGTACACACAGACTGAGCAAGGAGTATGTATTTTTAATAAAAATTTAATTGTATTTTTCAGTATTAATATTTTAAAGTTTTATTTGTCCTGGAAGCTAATGTATCTATTATTGTTTTCTACTGATGGGAATGAATGGTTCCATCTGGCTTTGGGGATTTTTTGTTGTTTGTTTTTTTTTTCAAAGGAAAGGAATCATAGGTTTTTTGCATTTTGGCATATTTTAAATGGGTGAAGATATTTTGCCAGTGCTGTTTTTAGCTTGTTTACACCTGTCCAGGCTCTTTATTTTTGTTTTCACTGTGTGTACCAAGGAGTCTGTGCCAGTTATGTTAACATCAGTTGCTTTCTTCATTGGCCGAGGCTTTTCATTCTATAGAATGCTCTTCTCTAGAGTGGAAGTTCATGTAAGTGCATTGTCACAGGGTATTATTTTTAAGCCCCGGCCCCTGCTGCCAACACCATTAATGGTATTATTTCCCCTGCATGACAGTTTCAGTTTTCTTTAGCCAGGCTTTTATATGTGGGTAAAGAAAGCAATCCTCAGTGGTTCCCATCCTTTCGTGTATCATTTATTGTTTAACTGATTTGCATTTTTACCAACATCCTAAAGAAATATTTAAAAATTCAGTAGATTTCCCCCCCTTCCACCTCAGTACTGCTATGTGGTAATGGAGAACAGCCCTAGGGAAATTAGATTTATTTTAATATTCTAGTAGATAATTAAATTTTAAATCATAGAATTAGAAGCCTGTTTTTGAGTAATTTAATCATTTTTGAAATCTTGATATACGAATGCATCAGATGGGAAAAAATTTTGCTACTAAAGCACTCTGTTAAAGAGCTAATATCTTCCACTCAGGCCCCATCCCTTCCTTGGGCCCTGCACAGTGATAATAGAATCTATTTCTGCCTGCTGAACAAAGTAGCCCACATATATACATATGTAGAGTCATCAGTTTCCTGCAAGCCTGTCCTGGCTGCCAAAGTCAGAAACAGAGACACAGGGACTGTTCTGCTCTCAGGAAATCCTATCTCACTTAAGACAGTCCTCTTCCATTTTCAGAAATGTGAATAAACTGCAAAATATTGTCACTTAGCAAGAATTCTTGCCTGATGGTCAGCAAAGCTTTTATTTACCTTTGTATTCTTAAAATAAAGTATAGTATGGGATCTTGAGTTAAGTAGTTACACGATTGGTCTAAGAAAAAAATTAATATAACAATGAAAGAAAGTAGAAAGATGATGTGAGGTTTCTGAACACTGTTTTTTAAAAGGGCTGCCCAGTGTTGCTTTGGGCAGTATGCAGAGGGCAGCTCTGGAGGCCACTCGGCAGACACGTGGACCTCACCTGAGCTGTGAATGTAAAGATACAGAGCTATGAGGATGCAGCTCAGTGAGAAAGTGTTTGCCCAGCATGCTCTAGGGTCTGAGTTCAGTCTCGGCACTGAAAAAAAAAAAACACGTTTTCTGTTCTAAGGTTTCTGAGTCATGATTTATTTAGACCTAGAATTGAAATATTTTGAAATACTAGCATGACTGTCATTCTTAACACAGAAAAGTATTTAATTTCTGAATATTGGGGTTCTGAATAAGAGCAATGTGTCGTATTCTGAAATACAACCCTATTTGTTTTAAAGAAACAATTTATTGGCAAATTATCTGTTATTGACCATGAGTAACTTAGTATTAAAAAGTAAACTGAGACAATGAACGCACTGTTCTTATGGTTAAAATTTATGACTATTTTCTATATCATCCTTCAAAAGGGATTTATTCAAGTTACCATATTTATGCTGAAATCTTCATCTGGCATTAGCTAATAATCTCATGTTCATAACTGAAATAAATCACCAATCATTCGATTTTATCACTTGTTCAAACTTCCAAAATAATTTGACTTGTTTTCATAGTGATTTTGCAGGCTAACCCCCAACCTGAGTTGTAAATAACATTCCATAAATCAGCATAATTCTGTGACTTTATGTTTTAAATAAGAGGAAAATTCATAATCTTTCTATTAGATTTTATAAAACTTCCAAAGCCTCAAACTTAACTTTGAGGAGTTGAAATTTTCTGACTCTGGTCCTTTTTAATATTGTAAGTTTTTGTTCACATTCTTGAGTAAAAAGCATTCGATTGCTATTTGGCCTTTAAATGAGAAACTCAGGTAAATGAACTGCTGACTTTTCTAACATTCTTTGATTCAACTCCGTGTACAGAGGTTATTCGCCTAGTCACTCTTGTGTTTTCTAAGTGCACTTGCTAACAAGGAACAACCAGTTCTCTGTTCAACCTGTAGGATTCACAAAAAAACTGCTGTGTAAATAGAAACACACCATTTGTATTCTTAACTCCAATAACTGCCTCAAGCTGAAGATGAATTCTCTGTATGGTAAGATTTACTGATGGAGGACAGAACAAACAGTTGTTTGATGGTGGTCTGGTTACAAGGAAACATAGAAATATAGTCTAATTAGACGCTCACCCAAGGACAGGCAAGATGACTCAAGCAGGTAAAGGTACTTGCCACCAAACCTGATGACCTGAGTTCAGTCCCCAGAATCTAATTTGTGGAAGGAGAGAACCAACTCCCATATGTAGTCCTCTGACCTCCACACATGTGCCATGGCATACACACCTACATGCAAACACACAAAAAATAGAAGCATGTAATTTTACTTTCTTTTTGTTGTTGTTTTGGTTTTGGGAGATAGGATCTCCATATAGCCAGCCTGAAGCTCTCTATATAGACCAGGCTGACCTTGATCTCACAGAAATCGAACTGCCTCGGCCTCCCAAGTACTGGGAGTAAAGCGTGTGCCACCACACCCAGCTTGACACATGTAAATTTTAAAATTATAAAAAACAACCCACTTAAGAAGATGACACCTCAAAAATTGGTTTTGGGAGATAGGATCTCCATATAACCAGCCTGAAGCTCTCTATATAGACCAGGCTGACCTTGATCTCACAGAAATCGAACTGCCCTGGCCTCCCAAGTACTGGGAGTAAAGCGTGTGCCACCACACCCAGCTTGACACATGTAAATTTTAAAATTATAAAAAACAACCCACTTAAGAAGATGACACCTCAAAAAAACATTGCATTTCGTTTGACTTTGCATATCAAGACTCTTGATAGGATGAAATCAGATTATCTGCAATTGTAGGTTCCTTGTGAATATCATGAAATCTGATTATCTCTGATTGTGGTTCCTCACATTGTTCACCAAGCTCTTCCCTTGCCTCTGCCTTTCCCAACTATTGTAAGGAGCACTAACAATGTACATGGTGTCTTGAGCAGCAAACAGACACTGCTTTCTCAGGCAGCCTGGGAAATATGCCTGCTGTATTTTGTTCCTTATGATCTTAGGCCCTCCTTTGGAGGGGTCTGAGACAACACAGACTCATGCTTGGGTTACTTGGAACAAACGAAGTCCAACTTCTTACAACATGCTATTTTATGGTTCCTGGTATTAAGAAAGAGTAAATATCTTTTTTTTAAATTGCCGGGCGTGGTGGCGCACGCCTTTAATCCCAGCACCCTGGAGGCAGAGACAGGCGGATCTCTGAGTTCGAGGCCCTCCTGGTCTCCATAGTGAATCCAGGACAGCTGGGGCTACAGGGAGACCCTGTCTCAAAAAGACAAAAAGAAAAAAAATTTCCCTAGGGCTGGAGAGATGGCTCAGCACTGACTGCTCTCGCAGAGGACCTGGGTTTGATTCCCAGCACCCACAGGGCAACTGCAAACTGCCTTTAACTCCAATTCCAGGGGAATCCAAAGCCCTCTTCTGACCTCCGAGGTATTGCATGACACGGGTGCATTCCATACATGCAGGCAACACACTCATACACATAAAAATAACAAAAAAATAAAATTTCCCCCCAAGTGGGTTTTACTGTTGTTTACTACTATATGAAAAGTCCATTTTAGCTTATTTTACTCTCTAATTCAATTTCATACCAAATACCTGATCAATAATAATACTTAGTAGTCAAAATTTGTGATCCATCGCTATAAAAACTGTCCGCAGTACTCTTCCAGACAGCGTAAATGTCAATATGATTTCATTCTTTCAGAGAGTAAATTAAGACGAAAGGAGCATTCTGTGGATCTTGATTGTGACAGTGCTGTTCAGAGATTATATCGGGGCAAGATCTCAAGAACAGCCTGGTTACTACTGAGGAGACTTTCTGGAGGGTCTGCGCTTTTCCCATTTTTCTCTTCTCTTAACTAGAGCTGCCATGAGTTTCAATTTAAGATCCATGATCATGCTTCTGATAATTTCACGCCAGCCTTCCAAACAAGTATCTAGTCTGATTCTACCTTCCCAGAGCCATGCATTAACAACTATGACATCTTTATATTCATTTGTGGGAGACAGAGGGTCTGCCCCCCCCCAAATTTGTTTTTATCAGAAGGTGATATAATTTCTTGGCCATCAAATAACAGTCCCTATGTATGATTTGGGTTTGGTTTGGGTTGGGTTTTGTTCGATTTTGGGATCAGGGTGACTTTGAACTTGGGATCCTCCTGCCTCAGGCTCCCGGGCACTGGGCTTACAGGTGCAGCGCCACTCCTAGCCTGTGTGGTTTCTAATGTGGTATACATTCGCTTCTTTGTTCTCCCACCATGCTCTGCTTCTTTAACGAATATTTTCACTGGGGTTGAAGCACCATGCCTTATGCTTGCTTGGTTTTCCTTTGCACACCTTTACTGCTGTCCATGTGCATTCAGACTGTGTCAAGTGCTGACAAACCACTCAGACTGTCGAGAGAAAGCCTGAAAGTTGATTTGTCATAATGCATATTCATAAAAAGAAATGTCTTAATGTTATTTGACTATGTAGTGGGTAGTAATTGAAAATAACTTAAATAAAGTCATTTTTGTAACTTAAGTTGGAGATCTGTCCCTTTTTTACTTATTTTTAGAAGTTTGTCTTTTGTATTTCTTAAGCCATTGCTGAGGCTCCCTGGGCTCTGCAGGAAATAGGCTTACATTCATTTTTTCACTGAGTAGACCTAGTTTCTATAATTATGACTAATTGTTTCCTTCCTTAATTCACTGTACTGCATCTACCTAAGGTGCCCCTGGAGTTTCATTTGGGTAATTAGTGCCTTAATGTATAATCTGGAGTGCAATTTTTGTACATTTGCCAGATTAGATTGTACAATGGCTGTCCAGCTCAGCTTCTGGTAAATGCCCTTATGTTAATGATGGTGGTTAAAGAAATCAAGGAGGCTAGAGATGACTCAGCAGTTAAGAATGCATACTGCTCTTGCAGAAGACGACCCACATCTGACAATTGCCTGTAACTCCAGCACTTGCTGCCAAACCTGAACACCTGAGTCTGATCCCTAGAACCCACATTGTAGAAGAAAACTAACTCCCACAAGTTGTCCTCTGACCTCCATGCATGTGCCTTGGCTTGAACACACACAGTGAATAAATAAATATGATAAATTTTCAAGAAGAAGAAATCAGAATGGTCCTGCGCATCCAGGAAAGCATCCCTTAATTAAACACATGCTTGTGGACGTCTCAACAAGAAACTTTATGTACTATGTATGCATAAGAAAATTGCAACCTATATTAATAACTTCCACAGTTAAGTTGTCACCATACAGAATTTCTATAAAGAATTCATGTTACTGGTAGTCTGGAGAACGGTGACAGGTGAGGAGGGATGGAGTCTGTGGAGAAAGGGGGCATCAGTGTGTTTCAGAAACTGAAGCAAGAGATTCAGCACATTGCACATCACCAGGCCCCATGGCACACACTTGGAATCCCAGTACTTGGGAAACAGAGACAGGAGAGTCATAAGTTCAAGGCCGGGCTGCTGAGCTTCATGGCAAAACCCCATCTCAAAAACTGAAATTAATTAAATAAATTTTTAAATAAATATTTGGATTTTATTATGTCTCATAGATCTTGAGAAAAGTGACACAAAGAAACATTAAATTTTGAATTTTATATTCTACCCATAGTTACAATAAAACAACCAACTTGCGAGAAATGATTCTGATATAACCAAAACTTAACGGAATTTCCTCACTTTGAGTTGTAAGGCTTCTAGGAATTTTGTCCTAATTTCACATAGATGATGGAGGATGGTTTTGTTAAGAACATGCTCTACACTTGGGTGGTTCAAATAGCTTTCTTAGGCTGAGTTAATCCAAGATAATCAAAACTACTGCAAAAGCATGACATGGTCTCTGTGCATTTGAGAGATAAATGTTGAGAAGTTTATGAAATAGTTGACAAATTCCTTTTGTGCCTACAGAGATGTTTGTATAAATTTTAATTCTATGGTAGTTAATCTTGTCAACTTGATGGGATTTAGAATCGCCATGGCAACAAATTTCTGGGCATACCTATGAGGGACTTTCAAGATGAGATTAATTGAAGTGGGAAGACTTCCCTAAATGTGGGCAGTGCCTTTCTATGGCCATGGTGAACTGTATTCCCTGGACCTGTGAGCCAAGATAAACCCTTCCTTAAGTTGCTTTTGTCAGATATTTTGTCATAGCAATGAGAAAAGTAACGAGGGGCTGGAGAGATGGCTCAGTGGTTAAGAGCACTGATTACTCTTGCAGAGGACCTGGGTTCAATCCCAGCACCCACATGGTGGCTAACAACCGTCCGTAACTCCAGTTCCAGGGGAACCCAATGCCGCCTTCTGACCTCTGTGGGCATTGCATGACGGGTGCACGTACACACATGCAGGCAATGCACTCATACACATAAAGTAAAAATAAATAAGTGAAATATTTTAAAAAGAAAAGTAACAAACACAATTTTTTAGTGGCTTGAACTTTATGAAAAATACTTCATGGGATAGTGAATCTCAACAAATATCCAAAAGCTATGAACAGTGATCTCAAACTTTCCATTGTCCCCAAATTTATGTCAAGAAGGCAGGGCTTTTCTGCAAGTAATAGGAAGTCAATTTGTTCAAAACTAGAAGACTGCTTTTCTTAACTCTTCTCAGGTCCTACCTCTGGTGGAGTGACTCACACTCTGACCTCAGTGGTTAGCATTGGCACAGTCACATACTTCATTGTTTTATGCATCAAGAAACAGGATGTTGACAGTCCTTTCTTTTGAGAAAAAATATTTAAAGTGAATTCATTACTGTAAAAATGAACCTAGAGGGAAAACCATGATAGAGGGGGGGAGACAATACAAGAGAGAAACAATGCCTAGCTAGTCACGAATACCAGAGGGAACCATATTATTCCTACAATCTACTGACAAATTATACATAACAGATCAAGAAATATATCTCTAGATAAGGTTTATTTGAGACCAACTGGTCATTACCCAAGATTTATCTGCAAGACACACAGTAATTAAAAATGCCAGAATGGTGGAACTAACCTTCTTGGATGTTTAACAAACATACCTTGAGGCCTATAATAATTTGGTCAGAGTGATATAAAGGACAGTATGGGGACCTAAAGGCCCCACCTTGCATAGGTCCGAAAGGAAGTTACTGGGGGCGTGGCCGGCCTTGCTTTAAAAGTCTGAAGA